GGGTGAAGGAACCCAAGGGTTTGGGCCATACTCCACTGCTTTTCCAGACCATAGCAGAGAGCTGGATCACAAAAGGAGTAGCCAGGACTAGAATTAGTGCCCATATGGGGTACCGGTACCACAGGTGGAGGCTTAGCCCACTATACCACAGTGCCAGCCCCTATCCAAGTCTTAAGAGAAATAACTGTAAAACCAGAATACTATAACTGCAAAGCTCTTATTTATAAATGAAGGCAAAATAAAGACCTCCCATAACAAAAGAAATTTAAACAATTTGTCATCTCTTGTCCAGCCTTACAAAAGATGCTTAAGAATGTGCTACACACAGAAACATAGAAATGTAGTAATTATGAAAGAATGTAAAGGTGGAAAATCTCACAGTAAAAGTACAAAGGAAATCCAAAGTAAACAATAGGAATATTTATGGAAAAATGGTAGGGCCAAGTCATTACTTACCAGTAGTAACCTTGAAGATAAATAGCCTCAACTCTCCAGTTAAATGATACAGACTGACTGATTGGATTAAAAAACAAAACCCATCTATTTGCAGCCTACAAGAAACACATCTCACCAACAAAGATACCCACAGACTGAAAGTGAAAGGACAGAAAAAGATATTCCATGCTAACAGAAACCAAAAAAGAGCTGATGTAGCCATTCTAATATCAGACAAAATAGACTTTAACACAAAAACTGTTAAAAGAGACAAAAGGGAACTCTGTAACGATTAAGGGATCAATTCAACAGGAAGATGTAACTATTATAATTGTAAATGCACCCGGCCGGCGCCGCGGCTCACTAGGCTAATCCTCCACCTTGCGGCGCCGGCACACCAGGTTCTAGTCCCGGTCGGGGTGCCGGATTCTGTCCCGGTTGCCCCTCTTCCAGGCCAGCTCTCTGCTGTGGCCAGGGAGTGCAGTGGAGGATGGCCCAGGTGCTTGGGCCCTGCACCCCATGGGAGACCAGGAAAAGTACCTGGCTCCTGCCATCAGATCAGCGCGGTGCGCTGGCCGCAGCGTGCTGGCTGCAGCAGCCATTTGGAGGGTGAACCAACAGTAAAGGAAGACCTTTCTCTCTGTCTCTCTCTCACACTGTCCACTCTGCCTGTCAAAAAATAAAAATAAAATAAAATAAAATAAATTGTATATGCACCCAATTACCAGGCATTTACCTATTTAAAAGAAAAGTAAAGGAACCTAAAGGGAGACATAGACTCCAGCACAACAGCAAATGAGGGACTTCAATACCTGACTTTCAGTAGTGGACAGATCAACCAGAAAATTGGCAAGGAAACAACAGAGCTAATCGACACTATAGACCAAATGGACCCAATTTAAAGCTACAGAACTTTTCATACTACAGTTGCAGAATACACATTGTTCTCACCAGTGCATGGAACTTTCTCTAGGATAGACCACATGCTAGACCATAAAGCAAATCATGGCAAACTCAGAAAAATAGAAATCATACCATGTATAATCTCTGACCACAATGGAATGAAGCTGGAAATCAACAACTCAAGAATCTCTAGAACATATGCAAACACATGGAAACTAATCAACATGTTCCTGAATGAACAGTGAATCATAGAAGAAATAAAAAGAAAAATAAAAAAAATTTCTGGGGGGCCAGCACTGTAGCGCAGTGGGTTAACACCCTGGCCTGAAGTGCCGGCATCCCAAATGGGCACCAGTTTGAGACCTGGCTGCTCCACTTCTGGTCCAGCTCTCTGCTATGGCCTGGGAAAGCAGTGGAAAATGGCCCAAGTCCTTGGGCTCATGCACCAGCATGGGAAACCTGGAAGAAGTTCCTGGATCCTGACTTCAGATCAGCACAGCTCCAGCCATTGCAGCCAATTGGAGAGTGAACCATCTGATGGAAGACCTCTTTCTCTCTCTCTCTCTCTCTCTCTCTCTCTCTCTCTCTCTTTCTCTCTCTCTCTCTCTCTCTCTCTGCATAACTCCAAGTTTCAAATAAATAAATAAATCTAAAAAACACTTCTGGAAATGAATTAAGACAATACAACATATCAAAACTTATGGGATACAGCTAAATCAGTGTTAAGAGAGAATGTTTATGGCAATTGCTGATGACATGATTCTGTATACAGGGGACCCAATGACTCCACTAAGAGACTATTGGAATTCATCAAAGAATTTCATAAAGTGGCAGGATTCAAAATTAACACACAAAAATCAATGACAAAAATATACAAACAATGCCATGACTGAGAAATAACATAAAGTCAGTCCCATTCACAATAGCTACAAAAAAATTAAATACCTTGGAATAAATTTAACCAAGGATGTCAAACATCTCTGATGAAAATTATAAAACATTAAAGAAAGAAATAGGAGACACAGAAAAAGGAAAAAATCTTCCATATTCATGGATTGGAAGAATCAATATCATCAAAATGCCCATGTTACTGAAAGCAAGATACAGATTCAATGCGATTCTAGTCAAAATACCAAGGACATTCTTGTCATATCCAGAAAAAACAATGCTGAAATTCTACAGAAACATAGGAGACCCCGAATAGCTAAAGCAATCTTTTTTTTTTTTTTTTTTTTTTTTTTTTTTTTTTTTTTTTTTTGACAGGCAGAGTTAGACAGTGAGAGAGAGACAGAGAGAAAGGTCTTCCTTCCATTGGTTCACTCCACAAATGGCCGCTATGGCCAGCATGCTGCGCCAATCCGAGCCAGGAGCCAGGTGCTTCCTTCCAGTCTCCCAAGGCCCAAACACATGGGCCATCCTCCACTGCCCTCCTGGGCCACAGCAGAGAGCTGACTGGAAGAGGAGCAACTGGCACAGAATCCAGCACCCCAACGGGAACTAGAACCTGGGGTGCCGGCACCGCAGGCAGAGGACTAGCTGAGTGAGCTGTGGCACCGGCCTAAAGCAATCTTATACAACAAAAAGCTGGAGGCATCACAATACCAGATTCCGAGACATAACTACAGGGCAGTTGTAATAATAATAATAATAAAGCCTGCTACTGGCATTAAAAAAAAAAGATAAGTAGACCAATGGAATATAATAGAAACTCCAGAAATCAACCCATGCATCTACAATCAACTTATCATTGACAAAGGAGCTAAAATCAATCCCTGGACATTCTCTTCAACAAATGGTAAAAACTGAACCTCCTCATGCAGAAGTATGAAGCAAGACCCTACCTTAAACCTCACACAAATATTGACTCAAAATGGATCAGAGACCTAAATTTACAACCTGATACCATCAAATTATTAGAGAACATTGGAGAAAACCTGCAAGAGATTAGCATAGGCAAAGAGTTCTTGGTAAAGATCCCAAAGGCACAGGCAATCAAAGCCAAAATTGATAAATGGGATTACATCAAATTGAGAAGTTTCTGCCCTGCAAAAGAAGTACTCAGCAAAGTGAAGAGGCAACTGACAGAATGGGAGAAAATATTTGCAAACTGTGCAACTGATAAAGGATTAATATCCAGAATATATAAAGAGATCAAGAAACTCAAGAACAACAGAACAAGCCAGTTAAGGAATGGACAAATGACTTGAACAGGCATTTTTCAAAAGGAAATCCAAGTGGCCAACAGACACATGAAAAAATGTTCAGGATCACTAGCCATCAGGAAAATGCAAATCAAAACCACAATGAGATTTCACTTCATCCCAGTTAGCATACCTCTCATATGAAAATCAAGAAACAAATGCTGGTGAGGATGTGGGAAAAGGTTCCCTAATCTTAATGGGAATGTAAACTGGTATAACCACTGTGCAAGACTGTTTGGAGATACCTCAGGATACTGAATATAGACCTACCATGTGACCCAGCCATCCCACTCCTGGGAATTTACACAAAGGAAATAAAATGAGCATATGAAAGAGTGATCTGTACCCCTATGTTTATTTCAGTTGAATTCACAATAGCTAAGATATGGAATCAACCCAGATGTCTGTCAACTGAAGACTGGATAAAGAAATTACAGTATATGGGGCTGGTGCTGTGGCCCAACAGGTTAAAGCCCTGGCCTGCAGCGCCAACATCCTATAGGGGTGCTGGTTTGAGTCCTGGCTGCTCCACTTCCCATCCAGTTCCCTGCTTATGCACCTGGAAAGCAGTGGAGGATGGCCCAAGTCCTTGGGCCTCTGTACCCATCTGAGAGACCCGGAAGAATCTCCTGAGCCCTGGCTTTGGATCAGGCCAGCTCTGGCCATTGCAGCCATCCTGGGAGTGAACCAGTGAGTGGAAGTCCTCTATCTCTCTTTCTCTACATCTCTCTTTAACTCTGTCTTTGAAGTAAAAAAAAAAAAAAATCTTAAAAAAAAAGTCATTGTATATGTACTCCATGGAAACTACACAGTGATTAAAAAAAAAAAAAAAAAGAAATCCCATCATTTGCAACAAGATGGATGCAACTGGAAACCATTATACTTAGTGAAATAAGCCAGTCCCAAAAGGCAAATACCATGTATTCTCCCTGATCTGTGATAACTAAGAGTACCTAAAAGGTATTCTATAGTAGTGAAACTCACACTTTGAGATGTGATGATTTTGAACAGCCCTTGTCTTGGTTGTTGAGGAACAGTTTTTTTTTTTTTTTTTCTCTTCATAGTATTTGTTGAACTCTTTACTTAATCTTGGGTTAATCTTATGTGTATAAAGTTCATTGAAAATAGATCTTTGTTTAAAAAAAAAAAACGGGAAAAGGAGAGGGAGGAGGAAAAAGGGTGGGAGTGTGGGCGGGAGGGAAAGTAGGGTGAGAAAAATCACTGTGTTCCTAAATGTGTATAGATGAAATGCATGACATTTGTATACTTTAAATGAAAATTTTCTAGGGGGAAAAAGGAACCAACAAGATTTGGATTATTGAAGTAGTTAAAAAAAGAGGGGGGAAATGATTTGTTATTTATAGACCTGTAAACTGAGAGCACCAGAAACTGACTAAGGGCCTTGTTCAGGTTTCTTTCTGGCTTTAGAAAATATTTTAAAGGGAAATTATTTGGTCTTACCCTGCAAGTATCAAAGTTTCCATTTTCATCACCTGCACAAAATGAAGTGTGAGGAATTACTCCCCCATAACTCCCCTCAGAATTACAACTTTGTCGAGAAATATAATGTACTTCTGCTTCTTGTAAGAGGATTGTGCCATTGCCTGTTAACAAAAAGAACACCCATTGGTTATTTTGGAGTGTGGACATTTTTACAATGATTTAAATATTTTATTTTATTCCAAAAAGACTGTTTCAACAATTATGTAAAATTGTGTACATTTACAAGCAAACACACAAACACAGTACAACAGAAAGTTTGTAGGATATAGAATTAAAAAGTAAGTTTATTTTGGTGCAAAAAACAAATACAAAGTGGGTAAAAATGTGTGTTATGAAAGAACTATGCATGAATTTCAAAAAGTTTTTGCACCAAAATGTACCTTTTAATACAATTTTCCATGAACGTTGAAAAGTAGCCGTGTATCTGTGTGTGTGTGTGTGTGTGTGTGTGTGTGTCTGGCTGTATGGCTCTCTAGGAAGATTGTAGAAGAATATTCACCTAAATGTTTATGATGGTTATCTCTGGATAGCAGACATTTCAGGTGGTTTTTGTTACCTTTTTTCATGAATTTCTTGACGGTCTCACAAAAGGTTCTGTAAGTTTTAGAAAATGAAGCTGTGTACAAACTGACAAAGGCTGAAATGGTAAATGCTGAAGTCAATGTTATGCTGTAAATTCTAAGTCTGGTTTAATTTCCTAATGTCAAGTCATGAAGTGTGTTGAACATGAAAGTGAGATCAACATTTAACTCATGTAATCGCCTACATTAACTGCCAATCCATGACACAAAATGTTGCTATGGAAAGGATAGGAAAATACAGGACAACAATTAAGAAACCACTGAGGACAGATTATTGTAAAATCAATGCATAGAAAAACTTCTTTTTTAAAAAAAATTATTTATCTTATTCAAAAGTCAGTATTACAGAAACAGAGAAAGATAGATATTCCATCTGCTGGTTCACTCCCCAAATGGCCACAACATTCAGAGCTTTGCCAGCCAAAGCCAGCAGCCAGGAGCCTCATTCAGGTCTCCCATGTGGGTGCAGGGGCCCAAGCACTTGGGCCATCTCCCACTGCTTTCCTTGGCACATGAGCAGGGAGCTGGATTGGAAGTGGAGCGGCTGGGACTTGAACCAGTGCCCATATGGGATACCAGCACTGTGGTCTGCAGCTTAACCCACTGCACCACAATGCCAGCTCAAAAAAATGTGTACAATAGCAGTATCTTATTCCAGGAACGTGCCTCAGAGTTGTAATTGTCACAAGCAAATAATGAACTTTTATTTCTTTTTATTATTATTATTTTATTTATTTATTTGAAAGTCAAAGTTACACAGCAAGAGAAGGAGAGGCAAAGACAGAGAGAGAGGTCTTCCATTTGCTGGTTCACTCCCCAGTTGGCTGCAATAACCAGAGCTGGGCCGACATGAAGCCAGGAGCCAGGAGCTTCTTCCAGGTCTCACACATAGGTGCAGGGGCCCAAGGACTTGGGCCATCTTTTACTGCTTCCCAAGCCACAGCATAGAGCTAGATGGGAAGTGGAGCAGCTGGGACTCAAACCAGCACCCATATGTGATGCTGGCACTGCAGGCGGCAGCTTTACCCACTGCACCACAGTGCCAGCCCCTGTATTTTATTTTTTTTAATATTTTATTTATTTGAGAGGTAGAGTTACAAGAGAGGGAGACACAGAGAGAAAGATTTTCCATCTGCTGGTTCACTCCCCAAATGGTGCAACTACCAGACCTGGGCCAATCCAAAGCCAGGAGTCAGGAGTGTCTTCTGGGTCTCCCGTGGGAGTACAGAGGCCCAAGCACTTGGGCCATCTTCTACTGCATTCCTAGACTATAGCAGAGAGCCAGATCGGAAGAGGAGCAGCTGAGATTAGAACTGGTGCCCATATGGGATGCTTGTGCCCCAGACAGAGGCTTAGCCTACCACAAGGCTTGTGTACCACAAGGCCGAACCCTGAATGTTTTATATAAGCTTGGTCAGAATGTGTATTCTACATTGCTGGATGCCTAGTTGATTGATGGTGCTATTAAGTTCAAGCATGTCTTTACTGATTTTCTGCCTAGTAGATCTATCCCTCACTCTCAGGAGAGTGCTGAAGTCTCCACCTCTCACAATGGATTCATCTCTTTCTCTTTGCAGTTCTATCCTCACATAATTGACTCTACTGTTAGAAGCATGCACAGTAAATATGTATTCCAGGAGTACTGATTCCTTTATCATTGTTTAATCTTCCTGTTTTTTCCTTGATAATTTTCCTTGCTCTGAAGTCTATTCTGGCTAGAATTAATATAGTTCCATCTTTCTTCTGATTAGTGTTAGTGTTATATATCTATATCTCCATCCTTGTACATTCCTCCCACCCCTGTCTCTTTACTTTTAATCTATATTTATCTTTACAATTAAAATGTGCTTCTTGTAGACAGTATACAGTTGGGTATTATTTTTTTTATCCCATCTGACAATCTTTGTCTTTTAATTGATATACAAGGGTACATTTAAAAGTCTGTGGGAAAAGGAATTAAAAGCACACATTTTTCATGAAGTTTTTGAAATCTCTTCATATTTACAGCATTGTTTTTTGTCATGATTATTGATATGACTAGATGTTGCCCATATTTGTTATGTTTTCTATTCATTGTCCTTAGTTTGTTTCTTTCCCCTCCATTCTTTTTCTGTCTGTTGTGGTTTTAACTGAACATTTTCAATAATTCTATTTTTTTAAGCATAGAAACTGAACAGGTTGAGCATCCCTGATCTGAAAATCTGAAATCCAGAGTGCTCCAAAATCAGGGATTTTTTGAGCACCGCGATGACACCACAAGTAGGAAATTCCACAGCTGCCTCACGTGAGAGGTTGAGAGGCTGCAGTCAAAGTTCAGGCACAAGGAATGGATGTGCAGCATAGTGGTTAAGATGCCCGAGTCCCCCATCAAAAACCTGAGTTTGTTTCCTGGCTCCAGCTCCTGACTCCAGCTTCCTGCTAATGCACACCCTGGGAGGCAGCAGTGAGCGCTCAAGTAATTGGATATTGCCACCCCCGTAAGACAGATTGCCTTCTGCCCAGCCTGCCCCTAGTTGTTGCAGGAATTTGAGGACTAAACCAGCACATGGGAACTCTCTATGTATCTCCGCCACTCAAAAAAATTTTAATGTAGGCACACTAAAAATATTTTATGAAACCGTGTATAGGCTATGTCTACAATACATAATGAAATTGTTTTTAGATTTAGGTCCCATCCCCCATGATATCTCATAATGTAGTCATATATTAAATGTTCCAAAATCTGAAAAAGTCCAAAATATAGACTATTTCTACTGGTAAAGAATATTCTACCTATAACTTCTTAGTGGTTTTCCTAGAGTTTGCATTATACATTTATAATTAACCTAAGACTACTTTCAAATAACTATACCACTCTATTGGTTGTACAGGTACCTTATGATAACTAAATATTTCTAATTCTCTCTCCTAATATCATTGATTTCACTTATACATAGCTGTAATCATTGACTATATTGTAGCTATTCTATTTTGAACAAACCATCAACTGTCAATCAATTATCAATAACAATCAATTATCAATAACAATAATGTTTTATCTTCATTTATTCCTTTTGTAACTCTTCGTTTTTTTTTAATTTTTAATCAGTTTTTAACAGATTCAGTGTCTTATAGATACAGTTCTAAAAACATGATGATAGTCCCTTCCTCTCCTCTCTCCCTCCTTCCTCCTCTTCTCTCTCCCACTGCCTTCCCCCCCCTTTTTTTTTAGTTTTTGAGGTATTTTAAATTTACATTACAGTTAAAAGGCTTAATATTTCACCAAATAAGAAATTTAACAGGGACTGGCGCTGTGGCAAAGCAGGTAGGGCCTCCACCTGTGGTGCCAGCATACCATATGGGCACCGGTTCAAGTCCCAGCTTCTTTACTTCCTATCCAGCTCGCTGCTATGGCCTGGGAAAGCAATAAAAGATGGCCCACATGCTTGGGCCTCTGCACCAATGTGGGAGACCCAGAAGAACCTCCTGGCTCCTGGCTTCAGATCAGCACAGCTCCGGCCATTGCAGCCATTCGGGGAGTGAACCAGCAGATGGAAGGTTCGCTCTGTCTCTACCTCTCTCTGTAACTCTGCCTTTCAAATAAATAAATAAATCTTGGGGCTAGCACTGTGGCGTAGTGAGTAAAGCCACCACCTGCAGTGCCAGCATCCCATGTGGGTGCTGGTTCAAGCCCTGGTTGCTCCACTTCTGATCCAGCTCTCTGCTATATCCTGGAAAAGCAGTGGAGGATGGCCCAAGTCCTCGTGCCTCTGCACCCACGTGGGAGACCCAGAAGAGGCTCCTGGCTTCTGGCACAGCTCCAGCTGTTGTAGCCATCTGGAGAGTGAACCAGCGGATGGAAGACCTCTCTCTCTCTCTGCGTCTGCCTCTCTGTAATTCTGCCTTTCAAATAAAATAAATAAATCTTTTTTAAAAGAAAAAAGTAAAAGACAAAAATTAATAAATCTTTAAAAAATAAAAAAAATTTAACAAGTGAAAAGCCCAAAGATCCTACTTTAATGGGAATATAGACAATGGCTATAAACAAGAATTGAATGGATCTTCCTTTCTTTATGTAGATCTGAGTTGCTAATGTGTCATTTTTCTTCTCTCTGAAGAACTTCTACCATTTGTTGCAAGGCAGTCTACTGGCAAGAAACTCCCTCGATTTTTGTCTGAGAAAATTTGTATTGACTTTTAAAGGATAATTTCACAGCATGTGGAATTCTATGTTGGTTTTTTTTTTCTCTTAGCACTTTAAATATTTCACTCCAATCTCTTTTTGCTTCCATTGTTTCTGAAAAGACAGATGTGATTGGTATCTTTGCTCCTCTATAGTAAGCTGTTTTTCCTCTCAGGTTTCTTTTAAGATTTTTTTCTTTATCTTGGCTTTTCTGCAGTTTGTGCTATGCCCAGGTGTAGGTTTTACTTGTTTGTTTCTTGATGTTTTGGAGGTTGGAAGCCTTTTATCATTATTCTCTGAGCATCCTCTGTCTGTGGTTTGGAGTCTGACAGTTTTTTGGAAATTCTCAGTCATTATT